TTCGATTCTAAATTACTAAAGATTTGTTTCTTTGATTCCCGACATGTGAAAGAATACTTGCAAGGCTTCAGCTTATCAATAAATGTAGCTGTCCGTTTGCAAAGGTTTAGTATTGTTCTGCCTTTTGTTTTCTTTGAACAATAGCTGTATGCATAATATTATTAATGTATGGGGTTATACGGAAATCTTGCATAATCTGTGCTTTGTCTCAGCAGTTTTTTGTCGAGTGAAACATTTTTTTTCATTTGATCGTAACATGCATGGGCCTAACCTGACCTTCTTTTAATGTTTTCCACGGTGATTTTGAAGGGAGATGAGGAGTGAGAGATGCAGATGTCGAAACAAAACTAAAAATTGAAGCCAAACATAGTGTCGATATCCTTTGATATTTTTAATCCTGACTTTTCATTTATTCAGTTTTCAGTGTCACAATGATGATAATTTATTATTATTTGCTCATTTCATTGGCAGTAAAAGACAGCTAAATACAGAGACATTGGGAAAATAAACTGTTTCCTTTTCTCAGAAATGAAAAACTTTCATATTAATGTTTGAAGCTTGGGAGATTTCTTTCTAGTTGCAAAAATAAAATAATGAAAGCACATGATGTCTTTTCATTTTATCAAGTTGAAAACAGTGATCAGCCCATGCAAGGAAATCTGACAGTCTTGAATTCTCAATTCTACACCATGGATACTGCATTCTGGATTCTTTGTCAGTGGAACTTGGATTCCGGATTCTAATTATAAGTGGGATCTAGAGTACTTGACCTTTATTCCAGATTCCAAGAGAAAAATTTCCCAGATTCCGGATTCCCTTACGTAGGGTGACAGTGATCCTAAGATAAATACGTTTTCTGTCAAACCAAAACCTGTTAATTGAGCTTCTACTGTAGGCTAAGTGGCTAAGTGTACATGTTGTTCTTGTCACTATATGCTTGAAAAGGGGGTTTGTGGACCAGGTGAAATAGTGGCTGGCATTATAGTATTCCAAAACCAGCTGGGTATGATTATGAAGCAGCTATAATTCAGTTCTAAAACTTGGATTTAAAAAAATAAACTGCTTCAAAGGGTGCATATATCACTATCCACTGAATAAACAAGAGTGGAAGGGGCCTGCAGCATCTTGATCATGGGATTTTTCATGTAGGGATGTAAGGCTTTTGAAGTGTTGTGTGCCAGAGTCCCCAGTAGCATAGTGAGCTTTTAGTTGCCTAGTCACGGCCAATGAGTTTCACGTCACGTGGTCCCAAGTGAAACAGTGAAACAGTTTCCCTCCAGTTTGCCTAAGATACATCACCGAAATGAATTGACCAAGAAGGCCTGGGAAAATGCCACACAGAGACAAGGCAAGGCTTTTAGCTTGTTTAGGTGTTGGGCTGTGAGGTGGCAGCTGTTAGATGTGCTGGCTTAAATACTTCCAAAGTCTACTTTAAGGTGTTGGTTAGTCTTAGTCATAGTGTCTGTATCATAATCATATCATCAGAAATAATCAGATTAACCCAACTATTAAACTGATAATCGATTATAGTAGATTATAGATTTGTGACCCCTGTATGCCACTTTCAACACTGAAAATAATTTTGTAAGTGAACAAAACAAAAAACCTACCCTGCAAGCCGATGCTTATCTGTCACATAGTTATAAAAACCAACTAAACATCATATAAACTACATTAAGAGCCCATCAAAAAGACAACACAGGTGTATTAATGTCCTTATTTGTCAACAATGTTTTTGTGAATTTCCACAACATTCAATTGAACATTTGTATAAGCAATACTCACTTTGCTTTAGGTTTCTGATCAATGATAGATTATGAGCGATAATCAGCACACCACTACCAAGTCGTGTCTCAATTAGAGTACGAAATGGCCCATCTGACGAGCAAAGCATGTTTGACTTAAAGGATCTATTATCTCCAAATCAGATAGGAACTTTTACAGTGCACATGACTCAGATACGGCAATCAAATTTTTGAACAACTGGAGTCTAGCCTTTTAATAGTCAATTTGCACATTGCAATGGCAAAGTGTAGCCCCAAGTAATATGTAAAATAAACCAAAGTCATGAGGGATTAAGAAAGTTTTTGCTCTAAAAATCAAATCTACTTCAAAGTGGAAAATACATTTTGAATTGCTATATTACAAACAATGGAAACACTCTTCACCTTTTGCTAGCTATTGAAGCGGGGTTAATGCTTTTTTTTTACATCTGAGAGGCAAAAAAACCAATAATAACAGCATCTTAAATCCTCCACTAAGGCTCCCTCTCTCAAATAAGCCCTCCTTTTCATTGGATGAAAGTTTTAACAATAAGTCCCCCTCTCTTTTAACCCCCATTCCACCTCCCCCCCATTTTCTTATTCTTCACTAATAAATAAAAGACTATCAATCAATGACAACTGTAAAACTTTGTAAGGACCGCTCCAGGATGGTTTATTCACCAGCTGGAAGTTCGGATTTGTTTTTGATCCTCAGCTGCTTGACCTCCAACCTTCTTGTACTTCTTGTCCTTGGGCTTTTTCACTTGGCATTTTTTTTTTGTGGGGAACTAATGACAGCGTCTTTGCTAGATTAAATAAATATTGCCCGGAAGCATTGGGAACAGGGTTAGATATCAAAAGCCAATAAGAAAGTCTAGAAACTGTAAAGTAGATGAAGGATGACAATAATTTTATTACCTGTACCAGATCAAGTGACAAAATATCCAAACTGAACAAGGAACTGTTTAATTTTCAACCAAAGTTTCCTCAAATTATATTAACAAATTATATTTCTTTCAGTATTAGAGAGCCATGTGTTAGAAAACTCTTAACTGGGTTAATCATGTATATCTACCCTCTCAAAATAAAGAACATTGTATTGTATTGTATTGTAACAAAATAGTGTTCTCTGGTTCTTGTTTTCAGAAAAAAAAAATTGTTTTTTGCATATCAGAGTTCAGTTAAAATGTGTACAGAGAGAAAAACAATAGTCAAAAACCTCACGAAGATCTGTAACAAAACTGACATAACTTATCGTAGTATTCGGTAAAGTGTCTGCGACTCAATTTAATGCCTTGTTGAATTTCGGAGCGGAAGAGGTTTTAGGGCGGCATGACAAAAAATTTCCTGGCTTCAGAGGTGTGTTCTCGAAATTCCTAAGATGAAATAAATTGCCCTCACGGTTAGAAAAAGCTCCCCCTTTCACGAAAGAAGAAAACTGAACCTCTGGCACTCAGGGTAGGCAAAAAAAGATTTGTAGACAGTTGTTAAGTGCCATGTACGCTAGAACGTTCAGGCTTAAAATAAATGAAGGTCATTGAACAGAAAATAAGATCGCTATATCATTCTACCGTATTCCTGTGGCTTTTAAGTGCATTCTTTCATATTTTTAGAGTCTTTTTAGCTTCTCTTGCGTTTGCCTTTGCCGCCATTTTGTTTGTTGTTCTTCAGCCTCAAGACCTCGTACCCAGATCCTCTCAGTCTTTATCTTTGCCGCCATTTTGAATAAATTTCCACTCTCCGTGGACAAATCAGTCACGTGATTTCTGCTGTGTGCCAGGGTCTTCTCTCCTGCCGCCGCCATATTGGAAAGCGAGAAGACCCTGGGGACGAGGTTGGAGACGGCCCCTCCCTCCTGCCATATAATTATTAATCGCAGCCTGAATTTTTTCATGATCAGGCTTTCTTCAGGGGCACCCAACGGCAATTTTCGGGAAAATATCTGTTCGGACGATGATTTGAGATCTAGAATTTTCGGAGCATTTGTTGTAAAATTTCTTGCTTGCCTGCCTCTCCTAGGATTTTCGAACATCTACAAAATGGTATAATTACCCATTTTTAACGGATTTTGACCCTAAAAAAGGCCACCTAGAATTTTCGGGAGCCTTTTCCTGGCTGAAATTTTCGAGAAGGTAAGTTTTTATCCCTATAATTTTCGGATCACTGGACTTTCAGCTAGGAAATCCGAACAGATGAAAAGTTTTTAGGGGATAAAAATATGCCTATATCTACCGTTTGAATACTAAAATACGTTCAACAATGCTATGTTAAGTGGTTTTGAACTATATCCTCGTTGGGTGCCCCTGTTTCTTTTCGAAACTGCATAAGCTGCGTATTTAACTGTGATGATCTTCTCTGCTCAGCATTTATTTTTTTGTTCCACGGTTCAAATATTTAACAATTAATGAATGCGGCTGAGTATCTTATGAAGAATTATGGAGATCGAGGAGGGTGTTATCCGTCGAGGCCGTAGGCCGAGGCGGATAACACCCTCCGAGATTCATTCAAAATAATTCCTAGTTTAAAAACATGGCTACTGAAAACATACTTACCTCCATCGATCTATCGATGTTAAGTTCATCTTCAATAGTGCACGTTTAGCGTTGTTCAGCTCCGCAAAAATTCTCCAAATAGCAGATGTCGCCCTTCGAGTTGTCTTCTTGCTGTTCTTGCCGTGTGAAGTGTCCGAGTGAAATGTCCGCCATTTTAGTTTTCACAACGAAAACAACTCAACTTGGTCCTCAGGTCTTCTCGGTTAACGATGCCTTAACTTATAGAGGACTGCATTTTTGACGTCATTTCCTCGTTAAACACAAAATTCTTCCAAATTTAGTCATCAGTAACTGGTTATGATGAATTATGCGTGTGCATTTAGCCAATCAGAATTGGGAAATATTTTGAAGGAATAATAAATAAAAATTAATTCATTAAAATTTCAAATATGTTCTTATTTTCTAAAATCGATAAAAAACAATTCTGTACACTTAAATAACATAAGTCAACATTTAGGATCCTCTTTGGAGACATAGGTGCCTTATCACGCACTCCAACTGCAATGCTAATTTAGTATGCAGATTTTGTATAAGGAATAAGGCGAATACCACTAAATACTCTTAGCTACAATGTATTTTTTTCTTTAGAAAATAAACCTATTTAAGAAACTACCCTAAATACCTTTAATTTGTAACTGTGCTAACTATTATTTTATGTAAGTACCTGTTCGGCTATCTTGGGAAAATGCAGGTTCTTAAAACGCAGGCTTTTACTGTATTCATCATTTTATTGCTTGGAAATCTTGTAATCCTAGAATGCGAAGCTTGCAACGAGACTCACGTGGGTGCAGACAGTGGTGTCCTTCAGTCTCCGAATTTCCCGCACAATTACCCGAATGAAGCCTACTGTTCCTGGAATATCAGAGTCAACCAATCACAGCACGTGTTTTTGATGTTCTCATCAAGTTTCAGTTTACAGGCTGAAAACAACACAGATGTCATTCGTGTGTACGATGGAGGGAATACCACAGGGGAGGTGTTGGGAGTGTTTTACGGAGGACACCCGCCCCCTCAGGGTGGACTCTATTCTTCAGCAAACCAAATGTTTGTGGTTTTTAAAACGGACAACAACAAATCTTTCTCCGGTTTCCAAGCTTCCTATCACGCCTTAACGTGTTCCGGTAAGGATGTTTCAGAACAACTGGCCCTCTTCTAGGCCACAATGCAGTTTCCAATTCAAATTTTCAAAGACAATAGGCCACTTCCGAGTTCCGAAAACCCTCACTTTCAAAATGAGGCCAAATGCACAGCCTTTCTTGTGAAATTGAGTTTTATTTGCGTGAGGATGAAAAATCATCTCCATGTCAAAGGCTGAGCAGTAGTCTTTTTGATACAGAGGCTCGGGGGAACTCGGATATGGCCCATCTTGCATTGCCATCAACCTCGAGACGGGCAGAGGGAGCAATCTTTTTACGCAACTTCGCTCGGTAGCTTTAAGCCTTGACGGAGACTGGCGAATGAAGGCTTTGTTTGAACTTCACTATTAAAATAATATTTAAATCGTTGTAGATTATATACACCACTTATCAACCGAGATTGAGGACCGAGGCCTTGATGTAATAGGGAGCTTATAAGCAACAAGGACGGCGAAGGCTACGAGGACGTCACTTAAAATGAAATGAATTCGCGCTGCCTCCACTTTATCACGCTATCACGCTTATTCTCTCTCGTTTAATTTGTGAAATGCTGGCAAATTTTTTTGGAGTTAAGTACTAAAGGACTGTATCAAAGTTCAGGAAAGAAAAAGAAATTGTTTTTGTGAGTTCCCGTCCTCGACAAAACTGCGTGCAACGACAGCAAAGAAATGTACAATAAAGCGTGATGCACGTGCAACGTTGTTGTTTTGCTAATATAAACCTTTTGCTTTTTTGCCGTTCTCGTTGCCGTCGCCGTCTTCGTTGCTTAAGCTCCCTATTTATACATCGAGGCCTCGGTCTGAGATTTCCCTGTAATGACCAAACGGACGAGGTTAATAAGTTATTATATGGCCTTTTTAGAGTCTTTTTCTTTAAAGTTGACTTCCAACACAGGGAAAAAAAACACTTATTCAATAACTTTAAGTGATAGCAGCCTAACACTGTCGGCCCTTGCCATAGGGTACTTTGAGGTCTTGTCTAAGTGGGCTACGAAATTCCACTACCTCTTGACTATTTTCTTTTGTTTGTTTCCTTCTTTGACATATTTTTTGCTTGAAATATATAGATCCTCTTGGAATGGAAAGCGGGGCCATTTCTGATGCTCAAATAAGTGCATCTTCACATTATACCAAGAACTGGCGACGTGACTATTCTGCAAAAAAGGCAAGGCTAAATTCGAGACATTCGTGGAGTAATAACGGATGCTGGGCAGCGGCTACAAATGATCTTCACCAGTGGCTTCAAGTGGACCTTGGTGGTTACACCAAAGTAACACGTGTAGCGACTCAGGGAAGTGGATACGGACTCTCAGAATGGGTGACAAAGTTTAAGATCCGATATAGCTCTGACGGAGTCATATGGCAATTTTACAAAGAGCCTGGTAATTCGAATGCTTCAGCAAAGGTGCGCTGGACTTGCTAAATATGGAGCTTAAGCAACGACGACGGCGACGGCGACGGCAAAGAGGACGGCAAAAAGGCAATCGGTTTGATTAGCAAAACAACAACTTTGCAAGAGCATCACGTTTTTTAGTACATTTCTTTGCCGTCGTTTCACGATCACAACGTAAAAGTGCCCAAATTCACGTTTTGTCGAGGACGGAAACTTTCTTTTTCTTTTCCTGAACTTTGTTACAGATTACGAGTACTTAGGACGATAAAGTTTGAAGCAGCGCGAATTCTGTCACTTCTTAAGTGACGTTTTTGTAGCCATCGCCGTCGATTTTGTTTAAGTGCGGGTAAATAATGGCCGCTCTCTCTAAGCTGAAGGAGAATTTAAGCAGTGTTATATTGTTGAGTACTCTAGACGTGACTGGCAGAAATCTACATTTTTATCCAGTTATATTACAAGTCTTAATTCTATGTTTTGTGCAATGATTTTTATTAATTCGGAGAAAAAATTTCGACCTTGCGCCACTGCAACTACGGGACTAAAGTCCTCGGGGCCTCCGGATTACAGTTCCAGCGTTCTCACTGCTAAGCCGCCCTGCCTCAAAGGACTGCTTAGTATTGTCATACACGTAAATGATTCTTTTTCCAGGTGTTTACTGGGAATTCTGGCGGTCCCAATAGAATTGTTTATAAGCGACTGAATGAACCCATCTTGGCACGATATATTCGAGTTGTGCCGGTGGCATGGTTTAACCACATAACGATGAGAGTGGAAATCTACGGTTGCCAAGGTACTCTTTTATTTATTATATTCATTTTGAAATCATTGGTGATACCTGCAATCTGACTGGCTTTCAGCGTTATAGTTCCCTCAGGAGTCTTCCTTTTTTTCTTTTTTTTTTTTTTTACCCTCAGTCGTATTCTAAATCCCATCATTTCTCTTCTAAGTTGCACCCGGAGTGGTAAATGGATGAAAATCGGTATCGATAAAAATCGATAGCAATCAAGTGATTTTTATCGATTGATAACGGAAATCGGTGGAAATTGATAGACTAAATTGCTGTGTCAAATCGATATTATCGATTTTTCTTGATTTTAACGATTTATAACGGTAAGTCCGACATTGTTGTTTTTTTGGCGTAAGTTACATAGTACAGCTGAGAAAACACATCCACGAGTAACAACTGATCAACAAACATGAAAATAAAAAATATGGAAACTATTACAGACGCAAGATTCTCTCTAAAACCGTGACCCTTTTGCACATAATAACAAGAACGGTTCGGTTTAATTACATTCGTAGTTCTGGCAGGCAAGTACCACGAGAAATACAACCTTAGATAAAAGATTTCCCAGCCAGAATTTCAGACATCCTCTAGAGTGTCTAGAGTCGAAGGGATGCGTGAAACTCAGGCTAAAAGATTTCCCTAGATAGCTTTTCACCGTTTTCCGTTATCAATCAATACAATCAATTGATCGCTAACGATTTTTATCGATTTCGATTTTTATCTATTGGCTAGAGGAAGTAACTACACGTGGAACTGATGTTATTTTGACAGGGTGGCAGATCTAAGTCGTGAAAAAAGTACATTTATTCATATTCAAACTAAATTTTCAAATATTCAAACTAATCTAAACTCAATATTCAATATTCCGATTCCACCCCCTTCTTCCCACATGCATGATCATTCGCCATGTTCTAAAAGAGTGAAAAAAAATCTGGATACGATATACGACCACAAAGTTTCTTGGGATCGTTTGGATGCACAACATGAAAGTCAATAAACAGGTCGTAAAGCTACATGTCGTTACAAACTGCAATGATAAGTTAAGAAATGCAACTATTCTTTACTCATAATGTACTACAGAACTCTCAAAGAGCCTAATGCACCAACTATGTCTCCTTCAGTCTGAGTAACCTTCAGAGCGTTTTTAAGAGGTGACATGCTGCTCTCCGCCATGGTTTTGCTCTGTATTTATATTGTCCACTGTTTCTTTGATCTGTAACTATATTCTCCTACCGTTAAGGGTCCCCTACCATAATACTCCAACATTTTAATTTCTACTTATCGTTACTGACTGTATTACAGGTTGCATGGCTCCACTTGGTATGGAAAATGGAGCAATCTCTGATGCCCAGATAAGTGCCTCTTCTCAGTGGGATGACAATCATGGTCCACATAGAGCTCGATTGAATCGGAGAAGGTTCGGAAACAAGAGGGGAGCCTGGAGCGCTTTAAACAATGACATTTATCAGTGGCTTCAGGTTGATCTTGGGAAATATACCACAGTGACTCGCATAGCGACTCAGGGCAGAAGTGATTGGGGGAGCCAATGGGTTACCAAGTACAGGTTACAGTACAGTGAAGACGGAGTGAGCTTCCATTTTTACAAAGCACTAGGACAAGATTCACCAAAGGTACGCCCAGGTAGTATTCTTCTCGCCTTATTTTAAGTAATCCGGATAATTCCGGAATTCGGCAAATTTTTGCTTAATTCGTGATCCGGCAAGACGGTGATACTTGTGGAATCCGAAATCCTGTTAATGAAGCTCAAAGAATCCGAATATTCCGCTAACGATTGGAATCCAGAATCTAGTGCCTGGAATCTGGTGCTGGATCCCACACCGCGGAAAAACGCACTGCGCATAAGCACAAGATTTAAGAGGCTGTCTCCCTAAAAGTACCCTGGTCCCAGAGGTTTTTCTTGATTTTTCTTCGCGAAAGAGATCAAGAGGAAGCCGCGAAGCGGCGATAACGAGTCGCGAAAGCGACGAGGAGAGAGAGAAAAACCTCTGGTTACCTTGGCCTCGAATCTCACTTTCATGCAGACGACAGCTGTCAAACGCGTCAAATTGCCAATAAAAGGAGTGACCAATGGCAACTTAGCAAACACGTGCTTATCAGCCGCTATTTTTTTAAGTGGGGGTAGACCTGGGGAAATTATGTTATGAACAAACCATCTCCACTTGGGTGGTAAAGAGTGATTTGTTAATCAGGGTCAAGCTAAAGCATGTGTTAACGATGGGCGACAAGAGTCCAGGAATAAGGAGACCACTTTATAAAGAAACCGACATTGTTCCAAACGACTGCTGCAGGATTTGCAGAATTTATGTAAAAGTAAGTGGCCGATCTAAAATCAACTTTTTTGGGTATAATAACAAGGATTTTTCACAAACATTGTCATCTGTTCTGTCGGCAGTGTGCCAGCGGGAAGTTGTTAAGTTTGCAAGAGTCTATCAATCGCGCTTATTGCATTGTTTACTTCTGCGGGGCGCGCCGTTCGCGTCGATTCGCGGGCATTCCCTTCAAAACAGTAATATTAATATGTATTCTGGCAATCTGGCTCGCATTTTGGTTTGGCGGCTCCATTTCCTTTTTTTGTGGAACAACGACGCTAGGAAGAGTCATGCAGCACAACAAACCCTTAATGTTCGGAATGTACTTTCAGAGGTTTTTGTTGACCCAATAGACCTATTCGGCTAACTCAATGTTGTACCCAATTCAAACCCTTTGGGAATAAAACGTTTTGTTTCAGGAATTTCCATATCATTTAAATGTGAATGCCACATTATAATGCAAATGCAATACACAAAGAATCTTATCCCCGGGAGATTTGAATTGGGTACAACATTGAGTTAGCCGGATAGGTCTATGCCAAAAATAACGTTGGTTAGATCTTTTTTGGGCGTCACAGGAAAATCAAGCTGCACCGAAAATGTTTACGTAGTTGTATTCGGAGATTTTTTTATTTTGCAGCCCTAAACAAGTTAGTTTATTTAATGGAATGACAGTATTGTAACAGAAAATATACTTTCCATGTCCGGTTGATAAAATAGTGAACACATCCTTTCGACTCAACGCAGCGAACAAAGCTTTCTTTTATTGTTCAGGGAGACTCAGGAAAGCGCTCATTAATTACCGAGGTCAAAATTTCTTCGAATATTCTTTCAGGAACAACATCCATGTCAAAATCTCGAAATATGGCGTGCCTTTACGTGCCTTGGTCCCGTGCAAATGTTATTGGGAGTGCAGCATACAAACAATTTTCTTCCCTAGTAGAGAGAGGCAAAATGAGGCGTGAAAATCCTCAGCGTCCCCTCGGTAGTTACAATTAAACGAGCCAATCAAATTGGTTTGCGTGTTTGAAAAACTATCAACCAATCAACGCCCGAGGGTCAGATCCTGACCCTGTCGTCTGCATGAAAGTGAGATTCGAGGCCAAGGTAACCAGAGGTTTTTCTCTCTCTCCTCGTCGCTTTTGCGACTCGTTGTCGCCGCTTCGCGGCTTCCTCTTGATCTCTTTCGCGAAGAAAAATGAAGAAAAACCTCTGGGACCAGGGTACGCTATCAATTCCGTGATGGACAGTGAGTGAAGTGACTGAGTAGCGTACAGTGTTCGGTTGTAACCTGTTTATACCACCACTTAATAAAACCGTTAGCCTGTCAAGTTGTTAAGCTTTGAACGACTAGGGGGTTTATATTTGACTATTTTAGGGAAATTTGTACCAGATCTTTGTTTACTCGCATGCAATCTCGCTCGTTTTTTGTTTTTGTATTTTTTTTCATAAGATTTGTGAAGTATTTGCGGTCTTTATATTCTTTGTCATAGCATCTCGGTATGCAGGCATATAAAAGCAATAAGATCCTCTCTGAGTAGCTCAACAACACTGTCCGCGGTAGGCTGGCATATCAAATGAGCGCCGCAGTGGAGTCGCAAAACCGTCGCGGTGGCGCCTAATTTAGTAAAATCGATATCAATATGAATTTGGATCCACACGGAGGGTCCAAAGGCCGATGTTAAAAAATGTGATCCTAGATCCTTCAGCTGTTGTTCAGATGTATGTATTTTGACATCATTAACGTGGTAGAATGCAAGCGTCTGTAAGAACAGGGTAATAAACGTACCGCTAACAAGAAGTGAGATGAGAAAAGACGTAAGAACAGTGTAGGGGTCTCGACCTGGAGAAATGTTCATGCTGGGGAAACCTTCGACAATGCCGGATTCAGACTTCACGTCAGTTCTCGCCTCTACTGATTGTCCGAATTCAGAGGTTTTTGTCCACGTTGGGCTTCAATAGTAAATTTTGTCTGTGAATTCTCCATGGTTGTCATGAGTACTCTCAGTAATATGCCTAAAGGCAGGTAATCACGATTTTGGCAATTTAACTCCGACTCCAAATTAGGTTTAGATATGCGCTTATCACTTTCTGTTTCACGCGTGCATCTTGTGATATTCAAATCCGTCAGCTCATAAATGATATCAAATGTGCAAGTGCATCAGCTGACTGTGTAACTTTATGCCATAGTGCAACAGTGATTAATATCAGGATATTTGACTTAAAGCCACTCCCTACTTTTCTCCATAACTTCATTATGTTTGGATCTTCACTTCCCGCATATTTCTAAATAAAAAAAATTGAGTGGACTACTGAGTTTATCTTTTTCTGAACTTGAAATTACGATTATGACAATACCCATTGGCCCTTTTGCCGTTATCTTATCATAGATAAAGGAACTAGTGATAAGGATATTATTAATGATTTTACGATTTTATACGTACGTGATCCCATCCTTTAAAATACATGGTATACGATCTTAGCAATCTCCAAGCCAATTACATGCCTGTCCTTGGTCTTAATATTCCTTTCTTGGTCCTCTATGCGAAGAACGAGGTGGCCGCCAAAATCATCCGAGCTTATATGCCGATATTTGCGGGTAATCCCCGGGAGAACTCCCATATAAAAGTGAAGGGCCTGCTCGTCGGAAAATTAATAATTTATTATTTAAACCCCTAAGGGAGGCCAATGTGGGTGTTGCTCAAGCTTAAACTGACCCCTAAAGGAGATTTCTGTGAGGTCAGCGTCACGGCTTTTTTTTTTTGTTTGCAAATTTCTTTATGCACAGCCTTAAGCGATACCTAAATGAGCATATTTAGGTACTTTCCGTCCCAAACAACCGAAGTGAGACGAAAATCTGCAAACGACGAGCACCCACGTCACTTTTGCATGGGAGTCCTCCTGGGAAGCAGATCACCATCTGTTCCACTTGATTTTTCGTAAGGTCAATGATTACCATCTTTTGAGAGTATTGGCTCTGCTTCACTTAGTTCAGACTTCGATGGATGACAGGTTTCATGGTAAGAAGTATTGGTGTCCTGACAATCGTGTACTTCTATCAGTTGGGAAAAACCGCGTGAACTTTCAAACTTTATTTTCTTGTTACTTTCTCTGATGTTGCACGATTCGAAATTGATGTTGAAACTTTATTATTTGCGTGTGCCAACTTCTTTATTAACTGTCTTCGATACAAAAGTAGCCTTAGACTCCAGACTGTCTCTTTGAGAGTGAAAACAAAAGCTGACCACTGTTAAAAGGAAGAAACAGTCAGTAAATGGAAGAAACCTTCTAACTGAAATTTGATTAACAAAGTCTTCAAATGTGGGCTCCTGATCAGTGGAAGGTAAATAAAGGGAAAATAGTAATTCGCCGTTCACAGTCCAGTACTATCGCCCCATGTTAGCGAATTTAATACAAGACAGTCTTGGATTCTGGATCCTACAAGCAAAAATTTTCCTGATTCCGGAATCCGGATACCCTCACGTGGGGCGAAATTCAAGTCAAACATTTTCTGACCTGTTCACGCATATTTAATTAAGGAGTGGGAAATTTACTTTTCTTCTTATTTCCGGTCTAGTAAATGAACCAATTTCGTAAGCATAACATTGCCGTCGCGCCAAGTTTAAAAGCAAAAAGGCAGAAACAGACAAAAAAGGGGGCGAAAAAAATCACTTCATTCTATAGCTGATATATTTTTCCAGTGTCAAACTTTTGCACCACATGGTTATCTGGTTGCACCAACACTGAAAATGATTTTTGAAGTTTGCAGGTCGCGAGCGCTCGACAAGACGAATTTGTTGTTACTAGCTTTCTTGCATGCTACTGGTTTGGCATAAGTTAATTTGGGAGAAGGCGATAACTAAGAAAAGAAAGGCAATAGTTATGAAAGAAACCAAAATAACGACGTCATCATTATCATTAACACTAGAACCAGGAAATAAAATTTTAATCCGTTCAATAATTTTTTTTATTATCAGAGGAAACAAGAACTCAGAAAAAAAAAAAGATGGGCGGGATTTAATAACAACCTCGACTTTGATGACTGCAGTCACGAACACCCGGAGCTTTCAGTGCCGGGAAACTAAACATGCCTATAAATGACTTTCGTTCCAGAAAATGCCTATTTAATTCTTCTACATGGTTGTTCCTTGGTTGAGGATTTCAATAATTTCAGACTGTGCGGCTCGGCTGTTTCTCATGCAAACACGAAACTTCCAGCTGCTAAATAAATGGCAGTGGCGGATCCAGCGGAGGAGCCCGGCCCGCCCCCCCTCCCTTATCTAAGGGTCTGGATGACCGACCCCCCCACCCCCTTATCTGAAGGTCTGGATCCGCCACTGCATGACGTGAAAATTTCGACTTCTAAAAGCCATCGAACCAGCTTTCGCTCTCTGATTCTGAGAATGAAAAAAATAAATAGAGTTGTCAACTTGCTGCCAGCCTCAACAGTATAATTAAGCTTATGTTTCATGGCAATCAACTCAGAAGAGTTTCGTTTCAAAATACGGTAAAACTCACTGGTAAATAAAACTAGAAAGCGATTGTGTGTTGTCGTTTTCCAAATCAAGCTCGAATCGGCTTTAAGACATGAAGACTGAGAAACTGAAGAACTGAAAATTAGAACTACAATACACAAGCTTGCAATGATAGCTTTTTATGTCTTAGTTTCAGCCAGGTTAAGTGAAAAATGGTAGTCAAAAACTTTGTTTTCGTGAATGAAAAGCAGTTTACCTGACGCTCTGGCCAAAATTACACACTGAGTTATTATCAACTTACCTTTTCTGAATCTAATCGACTAATTGTTTCAGTGATCTGTACCTGGTTATCCATAAAAGTAATTTCAATAACTACAAAATAGTCAAAAACACGTGCGGCATGAAGCAAAACAACTGAACCACAAGCTGCACACAGAATGAAGCCGAGCGCGGGAAAGTGTGACCGAAAAAGTGACCGGAAATGCTCAACCTGGCGCATGCATGGACGTTTTTCCGCGGTGTTGGTGGATCCAGGGGGAGGGACCAGGAGGTCCGGACCCCCCATATCAGACCTGACCCTTGTTTGAGACTGAAATTCTTACATCAACAGAATCGGATATCAATCTTAAACTGGCTGATTTTTTTTCATGATAGTCGAGTTGAAATTTGCCACTAAACTAAATTCCAGGGATATTCAAAACATGTAATTGTTTTGGGTACTCTCCTATCATCTTTTCGCCTATGCTCGCCAAGCAGTATTTCCCGCGTAACCGGCCACCGGCGTTCACAGATTGAGAAGCGCGTGCTCCTCTCTATGAGAAGTAATTTGCCACAAAAAATTTCAAAAGTCCTTTCTGAACCAAAGTTTGGACCCTTCCCCCCCCCCCATTCAAAAATTCCTGGATCCGCCCCTGTCTACGTTACTTGATTGTTGTTGTTGTTGTTATTATTAATTATTATTATTAATTTGCTGTATTTAAGAAAATTCATTTATAGTTCAAAAAGTTTCGAGCCAATCATAATTAAAAATATATCAGTGTATAAAATAATTGTTTATTATGTTTGGATAGTTGTTTGATGGAAACAAAGACAGAAACACCATTGTTTACCAAACATTAAGCCAGCCAATCAGAGCGCGTTATGTCAGGATACTTCCGGAGGCTTGGTACGGTCACATATCGATGAGAATGGAACTCTACGGCTGTTCAGGTATTTTTTTTAAAAAACTGCCTCAGGATTGTTCATTTTTTTTAAAGTAACCCACCTTAATAAGACTTTTGATAAGGCAGAACATACGTGGAGACAAAAAGCTAGGCCGACTGTCTAGCCAATCCGGAATTATTTGAAAATTCTTCAGGGGCGTCTCTATCTCCTGAAGAGGTCAGAAGGTGTCCTAGTGGACTTTCTCAAAGCCCTCCGCTTCCAATTTCTTCTTCCGGTAGTAGCTCACTTTTGCCGCAGAAGACAAAAAAATCTCCCGCCGTGCTTCGCGCTCGGGAAAATTTTTTAGCTCGACTTGAGGGTAAGCCTAGTATCCCAGCTGCATGTGCAGTCAGTCTTGATTTATTTATTTATTTATTCTAAGACCTTCCTGACGAGATGAAAATTGATGAAAATTGAAATCAAAATGGAGGCCCGAAACGGAAGGCTCTTGATCTGGACGATCTTGCGGGACTGTGAACAATCTACCCATGGCAATTGATACCGTTGTGGTGCTCCCACAACGAGGTTCTTTGTCTACCATTCCTGATCGAACTGGTTGGTTTCCGATGAGATAAGAGAAGCGAATCCGGGAGTACCCCGCAACGATAAAACATTCTGTATGTAATCGGATATGATGTCCCTTGACTTTCGCGTAGATGTGTCCAATAATTGCTTTCTGAATTTTACCGAATAGAACATTACAATAACCACACAACAGACAGTTATCATATTAAGAGTTTGTATTTAACAGGTTGCATAGCTCCTCTTGGGATGGAAAGTAGAACAATTCTTGATGCTCAGATAAGCGCATCTTCACAAATGGATAGCAACCACTCTGCATCACATGCAAGGCTGCATTTGCTGGCAGATGGGAGCACATTTGGCGGCTGGTCTGCTCTCACAAATGATGTCAACCAATGGCTTCAGGTGGATTTCGGTAGCTACACGCTAGTTACACGGATAGCGACCCAAGGGGAGAATGGCTACAGCAACTCGGTGACCAAATACAAGTTAAAGTATAGTGATGATGGTACTACCTTCCAGTTTTACAAAGACGTCGGAGGTACATCTCCAAAGGTACTCCGTGATCAGCATCAAATTTCTCCTTGTAATGTCAATGCTTTGTAAAACAGAGTGTTAATGAGAATTACGGACATGATCACACGAGATGAATTTGCCTGATATTTTTATCAACTTCTCCCACTACTTCTGTAGGAAATGAATAGGGGCAACAAATGAGAATTCAAAGAAGTGTTTGAAGGGTTAACAAACCTCAAGGTGTAGTCCATCCCATCCCTTCACACCTCCACCCTGAGTCAGACTCTATCAACTGCTACCCTCCTTAACCCATTCCCTTCTGAGCCGCCAGTAACCGCCAGTGCGGATCCACGTCGTTTCTACCGCCTGTAATGCCATTACTTTTGATGGTCGAGGACAACTTTGTCCGCCAACTTAAGCAGAGTGAAGAGATCTTTCAAACCACACCATAATGAGCACAATTCGGTCAAGGACACCTGAGAAAAAGTCAAAAAACCATGTAACATTGACCTGAAAATTTCCATGAAAATCTTGTTCCACTACCCACCTAAAAGCTTTCCTAAAAACCTTTTCCTCGAAAATGAAGCCTACTAAATTCCCAGCAAGAGAAAACAAAAATGAGGCGAGAAAAGCAAAAAAAGAGGGGAGGAGAGAAAGCGAAAAGTAAAAGTCAAGACTGTTGTGTCACTTTTAAACCCAAGAACCCGAAATTTTTGCTTTCTGCGCATAACCGAACTTCGCAAGCTAAAATTGTGCATCTGGATCAGAAGGCCGCGAAGTGTACGACCTCTTAACGGCTTTGTGGTAAGTTTTAGCTCTTTACAACACGACAGTGACCAGAAAACCGCTCGACTATCCTCAAAACGCGTTTTTCGGCAAAATCTCCAGGGGCGAATGGGTTAAATAATATAAATAGTCAAAGCCAGTTAATACGGACACTGAGCAGGCAATAGAATGTGTCCACATATTTGTGCTTCCGTATCAAAAATGTAAGGAATGCCGTTCCGTAGGAACAAAACAAACTACCCGTAATAACTAGATGTCCGTATTAGGCGGGTGTACGTTAAGCGGGATTCGACTGTATATTGATTTATTATTTTTCGGTTGGAGCGGTAATTTATAGTCACCATTTTCACATAGACCATAAGGCATCTTGTTTACCCCACAAAATTTTGCATAACCATTGTTTTCAATTTCTCTTGGGTATTACAGTTGTCCCAAGAGAAATCGAAGACAATGGTTATGCAAAATTTTTGAATGTAAACAAGGTGCATTATGGCCTATGTGAAAATGGTCAATTGAGACTGAGTATCTTATGAAGAATTATGGAGATCGAGGAGGGTGTTAACACCCTCCAAGATCTCCATAATTCTTCATATGATACGAAAGCCGAATTCAATAATTGTTTAATTATTCATTCAAAATAATTCCTAGTTTAAAAACATAGCTAAAACATGCTTACCTGTATCGATGTTAAGTTCATCTTCGATAGAGCACGTTTAGGGTTGTTCAGCTCCGCAAATATTCTCCAAATAGTAGATGTCGCCCTTCGAGTTGTCTTCCTACTGTTCTTGCCACGTTTTTAGCTATTACTTCGCCTAGTTCTTGCTCTTGAAACGCCATTTTTGTTTTCACAACCAAAACAACTCAACCTCGTCCCCAGGTCTTTTCGGTTAACGGTGCATTAACCTGCAAGAAAGCTGCACGGTTATCATTAGATCCCATCAACCGTAGCCCCTTCGGACACCTCATGAAACTTACACAACGTTGTTTTCCCCTTTTCCAATTAGGGTTAAGCAGTGCCTTTTATAGATTAGAATTAAGCGCTGTCTTTTCAGATTAGGGTTAAGCACTACCTTTACTGACAAGGGTCAAGCACTGTTTGGAAACTGGTTGATGCAAAATGTACTTAAATTATTTCCCTCTCATGCAGCAAATCCTTAGTGGTCTAGTGGTTAGCGTGGTGAACTGGTTCTTCTGATCTTGAGTTCGAATCCTGCTGCCCATCATTACAAAATTTTTTTCTTTTAAATTGAAGAGACTTGCACTTTCATGAACATTTCCATCTTAAAATATCATCTAAGTGTGGTGTAAAAGCAGAAAACAGTCCTTCCTTGTGTAAATTTCGTAAGGGGAGAAAGGGACTACGGCTGATGGGATCTAATGCTGACCAAGTTGCACTTTTGACGTCATCGGTTGATTAATCGCAAAATTCTTCCAAATTCGATCATCAGTAGCTGGTTATGGTGAATTATGCCTGTGCCTTTAGCAAATCAGAATCGGGAAAATATTTTGAATGAATAATAATCACTTGAAGTCGATCTCCGGGGATAATTACTAAAACACAGTTTTATCGTAACTTTCAGGTGTTCAGTGGAAACACAGATAGTGAAACGGTTGTGTACAACAAACTTCCATCGTCGATCAAGACACGCTTCATTCGTCTTTTGCCAATGCAGTGGAGAAATCAGATTTCAATGAGGATTGAAG